CAATACTTATTCTGATCTCACTTGACACAGTCATATTTGAGGATTTTATCGAGCTGCTGCTGCAACACTACAGCAAGTGGCCGGGGCCGTAATTCCGTTCTTGTAATGGACAATGCCTCCATCCATCGTTCGGAGAGACTGGAGCAGACGTGTGCCGAGGCTTGAGTGAGGCTGCTGAAGCTCGCACCCTACTCGCCGGACATGAATCTGATCGAGGAGCTTTTTGCAGAGATCAAGACAAACATTAGACAACAACGGCACAACAATACCGACATCTTTGAGAGAGATTTCAGGACGTTCTTGATGATGTGTGTTAAGATTGTGGGTTCTCGAGCGGCGAGCGCTGAGAATCACATTTGTCACTCTGGCATTTCCATTGAGCACCCTCCCGAGTAAACCGTAGTGTTATTGTAACGGGCCAAGCGTTGATTGTTGCGGGGCTCAGCCCGTTATTGAATGTTCATGTCCATCCGGTCTCACATCTAAAATCCTAGTGTGTATTCTTCTGTCTACCACTAGCGACGACACATCTCGTCGGTGTCCAGGACAGTATTTCTCACAGGGCACTCAGGTGCCCAGTGCGATGCTGATCCGCACAGCACACAACAGTCAGAATCCCGCCGAAGATCCCGAACTTTGTCAACATGCTTCTGGGATGTGGAGCATTCGTGCAACCAGTGTGACCTACATCCGCACCTCCAGCACCCGTCCTCGTTCATATCGCTAAAAATCTCGTGATCCTGTTCTAGACCGTGATTGCGTTGAAGGCGCGGGGCCCTTTCCTTTCGAAGTTCTGTGTCCGTCCACTTCCGTGGCTCCTCACAATGGGATCAGCAGCGTTGGGTGAATCTAGGAAAGTCCTGGTCAATGTCCCTTACCGAAGGTGCTTAGTTGGATATCTTACCTCCTCTGAGATCAAGTATCGGCGTCCCTGGTGACGATTAGTTCAACTGACCGAAGAGACACTTGACTCTCACGATAACCATACCGCTAACATATTGCACTGCATCGGGTGAATTCTCGTGACGTCTTTCAGCCACATCTATCTCCTTAATCCACCGACGAAGCTCCCCGCAAACATCCTGAAATCCCGGGTCGTTCACACTGGCGAATTTGGTCATGTCCATATGGTTATTGCGGATCCCGATCGGAATGTACCCAGGCAGAATCGCCGAATCCTGCGGTACCACCTGCCGTCCCTGTCAACGAAATGCTCGCCATATAGTCATGCCATCCACTCACCTGGCCGATGCCCGGCAGAGGCAGCTGCTCGAAGAAGCAGCTGATTTCGATCGGTTGTCCCTCCTTGACGCGCGCTTGGACCATGGTATGAAAACCGTCTTGGATCCGTGCAAGTACCTCCGAGTCGCGCTTGAGCACCTCAACAATTTGTGTATTTGTCTGCTTGATGATCCCGATACATCGCGATAGCCGCTCGGCCCACTGTGCCAGCCCCGATCCGTGGTGTGGTGTCCCGAGAAAGGCGATGCCGCACGTAAACCGGAGGATGTTATTGAGGTGTGGTTCTATCCGCTGTCTCGATCTGAACAATGCCTATCGAGAGAATTAGTTATCGCTTTAGCCTGGCTCTAGAGAAGACATACATCTTCGCAGACTAGACCCCCCAAGCTGTGGCAGACAAATATAATCGGCCGTTCATTCTACTCGTGTTAGCGTTGTAGCCAATCCACATAGCCGCCCGTACCTACTGTATCGTCCTTCTCTCGATACGACGCGAGAGACCTTAGAAGGTTCCACGCGTGGTCGCCAATTCGACTCTGCGACACCATGCTCTGCCAGTCCGCCACGTATGCATCGTATCCGAAGGTAAGGACGCGCGCGGTCGGGAGCTCGGACGGAAGGAGAGCCTTAGGCCACGGCTCGAACGCGCCGCTAGCGGTCCATGTCTTCTCGCGGTCGCCGGTTAGGCCGTGGACGAAAACGATGCTAGATAGCGGTCATCAGTGGGTGCTACTGTAATTTGGAGCGGAAGTGTACGTACTCAACGGTAGCGTGTGCCGAATTATGAAGCAGTTTGATGCCTGCCGGGAAGGTCTCGGCCGAGGGTGGAGCCGTCTCAACCGATCCTTCCGGTGGGTTGTGCTCAGCTACCGGCCCGGCTTTCTGCCACCAGCGGAAGAGTTGTCGCATTCCGCCGTAAATGGAAACGTGTGTCTCGGTCCGCTAGATCGTGGTCCACTGCTCTGTGGGGTTGAGCGCAAGGATTCAAGTACCCAGATCCCCGCTTTGCGACCCAACCTCTACCCAATTCAGAGCGAGCTGAAGCGAGTAACTGGGCCCTTAGCCACGTGACCTCATCTGCTCAAAATTCCTGTGGACCTCCCTTCGCGGCAGCACTTCGCCAGATTTCTCGGTGTTGTCCTGCAAAGAGAGCTGTCTCTACTGTAATATTAGGTTGTAGAGACACAGCTGGACAGCCCCGAGCCTATGGTACTTAATCTTTCGCTCTCTCAATTGTGCGGCTAGACTGCTACCCAACAGCTGCAACTCGGTTCTTCAGCCTCAATTGCCTTCCAGCCACAGCCGGTGTGGCGTAACTAATGACTCAGACATGGACGACAGCTCGGATTGGATGGATGGATGGAATTTATTTCGCCCGGAGGCACTGGGCCTATAGGGCCTTAGCACGCTAACTACATCCGGATCAAATCGGTTTGCCTTTAACTCGTACAAGCCCCCTACTTCTTCCCTCTTTCTCGCTGCACCATTTACCTCTTGCCTTGGTTGTTGTTAGCAGATCAGCTTGGAGGCTACTTTCTCCAAGTGTTCAGCGTCCTATCTTCAGCAGCTAAAGCGGGACCTGCTGGTTAAGGCTCGTGGTTGAGGCTCGTGGTGTTGAGTGTCGGCTTCTTCTACTGTGACTGGTCTAGACTCTCCTCCTCATTCAACTCCAGCCTTCCTGTTGCCATTGCGTATTTGATCGTCGCCCGGACTGCCTTCATATCTGGTGACCAATTCCTTATATCTGATGGCGCTTTCCCTAACCCATGATTAGAACGAGCAGGCTTCCTCGTCTTGCCACTGTGCATTGCAGCATGTCTTCCCTCAGAGCTGTCCATCTCACGCATCGGAAAAGAAAGTGTTCCACTGATTCCCTCGCTTGTCCACAGGCACAAAGGTCTGACTCGACCGCCCCAATCCTGCTCAAAAAACCGTTCAGTCTCGCCATTCCGGTTCGGAGCTGCGCCAATACGCAGGCCTCCCTTCGCTTCAGCTTGTCATAGAGATGGCGCGTGTGCTTGCCTGGTAGTGCTGCGTCCATGGCCTTTGAGAACTTGCCCACGCTTACAGGTAGAACTCTTGTCGCCCGTTGTCTTTCCATTGCCAGCCTCATCGCGGTAGACTTGGCCTGGGGTATTTGGGAGTCGGGTGTGCGTCCTTGCTTCGACGCTCTCTGGGCTGCTGCCTTGGCATCTGACCCCAGCGCGAAGTCAATCTCCGCTGGTATCCACAGGAAGTTGACCGAGTTCCCTCTTTGTCGGTGCAGCCTGGCCAAGTCGTAGATTTGCCGTATGATGCTTTGGCCGGATTGCTGCCGCGGCTGTCCAACTGCTGCCAGCGCTGACTGGTTCCTAGTGATCACGGTGATGTGCCTGTGGCAGATGCTAGCCCGGTAACTTCTCCAGGGCCATTGCGATGGGCTGCTAGCTCTGCTGTATATGGGTTCTGCTCTTCCCTTGTCCCAAGAACAACAGCATAGTTTGTCACAGTCTCGCTAGTCCTGTTGAAGAGAGCATCCCGTGCAAGGCCGCCCATGCCAACAATGCCCTTCTTTACGGATGAGCTGGTTGCGATCACGATTCCCGAAATTTTGTTGACCATCTCGGCCACCTTCCCTCGATCGGCTTCGAGCGTCGGTCGTAGGCGAGGTGCCCAGGGCGGGACGGCGTATTCCTGGATTGTCTCCATCCGGTCAACTCGTACTCCTTCGGCCACACGGGCAATTTTCTGCAGCGGAGATACGAATCGTACGGTGTTCCGGACTTTCTTCATGGCAAGGGGATGCGTTCCGGGCAGCGTGTGGATGTTGATCCACAGACTGGCTGCCGCCTGGGCGTGTCGTTCTCGTACGGGGTAGATGCTCGCTTCAGCTTCCACCACGGCTGTTGCCGCGGTTCGAAAGGCTCCCGTGATGGCCAGGGCCCCGATCTTCTGCGCCCTGTTCAGCCAGCTCAGTGCTTTTTCCCCGCACGCATGCATCCAGACATTGGCAGCGTAGTCCATGACCGGGGCTACTGTCGCAACAAATAGCTGTCCCGCTGTCCGCGGGGAAAGCATCTTTAGCCTCTTCAGGGCCATAGCGGCTGCGAGGCCCTTGGCTGCCGTCCTAGCAATGTGCTGCTTGTAGCGGAGTTCGCGATCCATCACGACACCTAGGATTTTCGCACTTTCCTTCGGTTTGACCACTTCGCCTTTGACCGAAGAACGGTTGTTCTGAAAATCGCTCCATGTTCCTCGTGAATGTGTATGATGGCTGTCTTTTCGCCTTCAAACTGCGCACCGCTCCGTTTCTCCCAGTCAAGGGCTTTGTCGATGATAGCTTGGATTCCAGTGCGGTTCGACTCCGCTGACGGGCCCGTTACCCAGGCAGTGTAGTCGTCCACGAAGGCAATTGCGCCTCCGTTCGCGTCGATCTTGTGCTGCACTAGGTCGGCGTTGAAGAAGAGGAACAACACTGGAGACAGCGGCGATCCTTGCGGAAGACCCGCTTGGGGCAGCTCTTGCCGTCCAGATGTGAACCCGTTTACGGCAATGGTCGCTGTGCGCTTGGAGCAGAAGGCGTCGATCCACTTGACCAGGGGTTCAGGTATCCCTCTTGCCTTGAGCCTCTGGAGAAGCCTGTCTTTGAAGACCCCATTGTATGCGCCCTTGACATCGAAGCTGATCAAACTGAGCACCTTCCTAGCTCTCCATGCTTTGTAGATGTGTTCCTGAAGCAGAAGGAGAGCCTGTTCGGTCGAGCGTCTCTTCCTGGCTCCGAAGTGGTTGGCGGGTAGAAGGGCCGCAGGTCTCCACCAGCATGGAGATAAACGCTTCCGCAAATGACTGCCTCCCAGTATCTTACCCCAGCGTGGAAGAGCAGCGAGATGGGTCTCCAGGGAACTTGGCTAGAGTGTATTCGCTCTTCCCCTTGGCTTCTTCAAATTGGGATGATCCTTGGCATTCCTCCACTGGCTGGGGGATGTCGCCGGTCTCGAAGCGACGTCCGGAATAAAATTGGAGCACCCTGTCTTTGACCACTGGGCCAGAGCTGTCTCCATACCATTGCCGGTAGACCGTCTTCCCCGGGCGCCTTCCATGGCTTAGCGGACAGGACCTTTTGTTCTATCTCCTCCATTGTTAGGTCTGGCATGTGTACCGGCGCCCGTTGAGGTCGTTGGCCCTCGTCTTCGATTCTCGCTGGCAAAGGTGGGAAGAAGGCGGTGAGTAACTCCTGCGCTTGTTCTGCTTTACCCTCCGTGATGGAGCCATCGGGTCGGACGAGCGGGGGTATCTTATCGCCCATCGTGCCGCTGCCGGTTTGCAGGTACTTCGTTGCTTGCCAGATGTTAGCGTCATCGGCCAGGAAGTCGTTCCAATGCGAACTCTTCTGTCTGCGGATGGCGTCGTGGTACTCTTTGGCTGCCATCCTGGCTCGTTGTTCGAGCTCTGGTGCTGTTTGCCCAATCCTACGTCGAGATCTCGCCTGGTTTCTCCAAAACGTGTATGTCTGGCGAAGCCGTGTCAGGTCCGTTGTCCACCACCGCTTGGCGTATGATGAGGGTTTGGCTTTAGGTGTCAGGCCGTAGACCGCCTCGGTTACCGCTGCCATGAGCCTGTCCGTCTGCTGCTGGACATTGCCGTCCCAGGGGATGCGTTCGAGGTTTGCTGCCACCCTAGTCCTAATTTCCGCCCAGGGCGCGTTCTTGAAGAGGAACCTCGTCTCACTGGGACGGTCCTCCACCGAGGTGTCAAAAGCTGTCTCGATTGCTCTGTGGTCTGAGCCATGGTCGCAGGGGTGAATCGCGCATCTGGAGTAGTTGGTATGCGAGAAAAAAAAGAGCCATGTACCAGGTCGATTGTGCTCACAATGTCGCCTGACTGACACGTCTTCGTGACTCTGGGGAGGAAGCTGCAGAGGGAGTGTTCGTCCATGAGGTTGATGATGCGATCTCCCCAATCCTGTCTCCGTGGTGAGACATCGTCCCCTCCCCAAAGCTGGTCGTGGCGGTTGAAATCGCCCGCCAGGATGATATCCGTTCTCGTCCCTGTTCCGTTTCGAAACCTCTTAATCAATCGGTCAATTTCCCTCATTGCATCTTCCAGTGCTTCGTCACTACCACCCTCCACATACA